CTGCTGGTATTGTAAACTGGGAAAGCAAATTTTATCTTTATTGAAACAATTATAAGTAAAGTAAGCCATTGATATAATCATAGGTGAATGTTATATAACTTTGTTAAAAGATCAACGAAAATTCTTTTATGAGTTTTTTTTTTTTTTATGTTTAGGACACTTTTCCTGGTTTTTAGTACATATTTAATTTTAAATTGTCCAATGTCTGAGTACTTTTGGTTTGTATAAGCCATTACCAAAGATTTTTTTTTTTCTTTTTTTGTGATGTATGTTTCATTATTTTTAAAATATTGTTTCTTTCCATCTTCATGTAAGAGTTTCTGTCAACGTTGCTTTTTTATTATTTTAATGAAATTATATTAGGTATGTTGGTTCCTAAGTTAGGGAAGTGGAAAGTACATTGGACAATTTATATTTAAATATGTACCAGAAACCAAGAAAATGATCTGAAACCTAGAAAAAAATAATAAAATTCCTGACAAAAAACTTTCGTTGGGCATTAAGCAAACTTTGTATAAGTGGAAAAGTATTGTCTGAATACACACACACACACACACACATATATATATATATATATATATATATATATATATATATATATATATATATATATATATATATATATAAAATATAAAAAATATGATATTAAAAATAAAAAAATAATTATAATTTAGGCTCTACTTTTGTATTGACCACTTTTTTTTTTAAAAATAAAAAAAAAAATACTAAAGAATTTTGGATTATTTATCTAATGAGTTCTTTCCTATTTTTCTATATATTTGCACACACACACACACATATATATATATATATATATATATATAACTTCCGTTAAGTTAACCGTTTAAATGTGTCAATGTCTGGACCTCAAGTAATTTTAAGTATAAAAGAATAGAAATTTTAAATTACATGTAACTCACTCATGTCTTCTCTCTCCCCCCTCACTGCATTAATTTACATATGCTTAATACGGCCCATCAAAAATGTGTAAATTTCTTTTCATTTTTTGCTTCAACCTTTTGAAGTAAAGTCTGATGATCCGCAGTCCTTTAAAAGGGCTGTGGTGAAATAATTTATTACATGGAACCTTAAAGTGGTCTGTTTTTATTTAAATTATTTGCTCTGGAGTTACATTGAGCTCTCTGGATTTTATCCTCCTTGGGGTTTACCCATACGAATTACCTAGTTTTTCATAAACTAACTATATATATATATATATATATATATATATATATATTAACCAGATGCTTCCTCTGTAGCTAAATGGTATAGCATGTCAGGCTATATAACGGTTCCATGTTGGATACAGGTTTGATTCCTGTCGGAGGACATATATTTTCTTTCAGATTTCTCAGACATTCAGGCCAGTAAATGTTGTTAATACTGTTTATTATAAACAGAGCATTTACTTAAATATTTGTATCTATAAAAATAACGTATAAACAAAATATATATTAAAATAATTGTCGGACTTAGTGCATTTCATAATGTATATAGGCAGCATATCTTCATTCAAACATGCTTGCTTGGATAATCTTGACATGTCTATTTTATTTTAATCCTCTCAAAATAAAAGAAATGAAAAAAAAAACTATGGTGCCTTACTTAACAACATTAAGAAATTGATCTGTGAATTTGACAGGATTAAAATAGAAATATGTCTAGATTTTATATATATATATATATATATATATATATATATATATAGTAAGCTCAACTTAGTCAAGAAACGGACTAAAATAAATCAATAGGAAGTTTTAAATGACTTGGATGTTGCCAGACACACAAATATTTTCGTGTGATTAATTATTTGTTGGAGACTATTTTTGATTATTCAATGTTTAAACTGCACTTATTTCTTTATAATCCTTGTGTAGGGGCTGAAAAAAATTCTGCTCAACCCATTTATCAAAATCTAACCAAACATATTTTTTAAGAACTTCTTGATCAGCTTAAGTATTCTTCAGTGTCTCCTTGTGTGTTACATACTTGAAAATTTGCTGTATAAATAGTGTAGACATAGGCATCAACACTGTATGGTGATTCCCAGTTTCATTTCTCAATATGATCTCCTGCTCAAGTCTTGCACTGAAAATATATCACCTCACTAGACACTTTCAAAGAAATCTAATCTTTCCAAAGAATTTCTTTCAGATATTTAAATAGCTGAGGCATTTAGGTGCAAAAAACAGTAGCATAGAAACAGATTGTTATTGGCTTTTTTTTTTTCTTCTTCTTTTTTTTTTTTTTTTTTTTTTTTTAAAGGGTTGTAAGAGGTGAAATACTTTGGCCAAGTAGATGTACTTGTGGATAAAACATAGAAATAGGTCTTTGAGAATATATTGTAAGTTTATAAAGGTTTGATAAGTTTTTTTTTCTATGTACAATCCTGCCTACTTGTTAACTATCACCCTCTCCACCTGCCTGCCAAGGACTCTGCTTTGTTTTAGTCTTTGCTATTTATTCTTTTATGTTCTTTATTTTCTCCTGATTGATCTATTTTGTCCAATGCTATTTCCCTTGAAACTAAAAATACTTCAGAAATGTTTTTATGTGTAGTGTTTTCATGCAGCCATTTTTTCCCTCTTTGTTGACTGTTCTGAACATGTATTTTACATAGCAAAGTGAATTTTTTTTTGATCTAAGTGATTTGTAATGGCTGGCAGCAAAAACAATGAGTATCGGACTTATTTTCAGAAGCATTTGTTTGATGGTGGGTATCTTTGGATTATGAATGGGAGCTTGAATTCTAAAAGCCAGAATTACAAGGAAGTCTGGGCTGATTCAGTTTTTCATAGCAATACTATTAGAGAATGTGTTATATATAGTCCATCTGAAGTTATGCAAATCATATAAACCTCAATAACTTGAATTTGCTTTGAAAAATTTTTATTTTAAATGTTAAAACAAAGCTAGAGTTAAATATTTAGGTAGTTTTAACATGTATTTAATTTAATGGATATATTACAAAAACTGTAGTCTGAAGTTATGCATATTACACTATTTACATTATTCAGACTATTGTCCTCATCTTTGTTGCCATATTTATTACAACATTTTGGCTGTTGTACATTTCGGCCTTCTTCAGGTGGTTGAAATGTCGAACTGAACCCTTTATTTCGCTCAGGGGGTAGGCTGTTCAAGTTCCACATGCCATGTTTAACGGATGTTGGTTATCAGTTATCTCCTGTTAATTCCCCTCTCCAAGTTCTCCACTACCTTAACCGGGTAATGAACTCACACTCTTTGGGTCCTGTCACTGTATCTAACCAACAACCATAGTCTGCCAAAGAAAAACATATCAAAAATGAAAAATCAAGAAAACAAACAAAAGATAAAGAAACCACAAAAAGAATACCTATGGAAAAAAAATAAAGTGCTCAATGCTTCTAGAAATTAGACAGAGCAGTAACACTAACAAACCAAACAGTACTCGGAAACTCCCACCCAAATCATTACTCTAAGTTTCATGCTAATTGATGATCAGATGGTATATATGATGTTGGTAGAACCCTATCATGCTCACTTTTGAACTCCCCTCACAAGTTATGAGGGGAGTTCAGAAAGCCAGTGATTATATTCGGTAAATTGAAACTGCATGGAATTTTGAAAGTGATAAAAATCAAGGTGTACATTTTAACTTTTTTGTTACTGTATGCATATGAAATGCAGGTTGTCTATAGCGATCACTTGGAGCAGTTTGAATGCTTTTATCTTGAAATCAACTAGGGAGTGCATGTCAGCAACACTGAAGTACTTGCACAAAAGTTGGTGCAGCAGCATTGAAGCACCAACTTTCTCAAACATAGGTTGTATTGGAATGGTCATGTTGCTTGCATAAGAAAAATCTGGATTCCTAAACAGTTCTTTTGTATAGAGAGCCTGCTGATAGAAAGTGACTAGCCCATAAGCCAAAGAAGCATTATAAGGTTGGTCTGAAAGAATTGCTGAATTTTGCAAACATCAGTGCATATGACTGTGAGTTACATGCAAATGATCATGTCGCCTGACGGAAGAATATTCATGATGGAAAGGTTGTTTTCTCGAGTTCTCAGATTGCAAAAGAAAAGCTGAAAAGAAATCTTCAAAACGGTCATGATGAGGAATTTCCAGGCCATATAGGTGAAAGGTGTGGCATCATTTGTGATGTTTGTGATAGGCTAAGTACAGTACTAGATTGGCAGCTAGGTCTCATCATTTTACAGTTGAAATTGCTATTCTCTCTCTTTAATAATGTTTTTCTTTTTCTCATTCTTTCTTGCTCAGTAATCACTCATATTCTTTTTCTTGTTGTTTTACACTCAGTAATCACTTGCATCTTGGTGGCTTTATTACCTTGCTTGGGATGAAATGATTAAAAAAAAAAACAGCTTTGTGTGAGAAAGCAAGAAAATTGAATTGTATACAAAGCCATTGTACCAGAGCATCAACTATCTGCAAAATGGTATTTAATACTAACAATTTTATGTAACATTTATGGAAAAGTATGCAAATCAGTTGGTGAGCTGAAAGCACATATAAACATTTACAACAATATACATGACAACAATCTCATGTTTGTCAACTTTGTGCCAAAGGTTTTAAATGTTTGTCCAGTTTAGTGCCATGTTAAGTCTTACAATGATATTGGGTGAGGAGTCATACTTTGCAATGAGGGTGCAGCCATTGTAGAAATGTGTTGCAATGGTCAACAATCAAGAAAAGATTTAATAATAAAAATTCTTATTCTTTTATTCAATATTTACTGAATGGAATTTGATATAGAGTAACAAGTTAAAGTTCTGCATTATTAGCTCCTATTACATGACATACCTATGTTCAAATCAATAACTATAAAACATTGACAAAATACAAACTTTTCAAATTTAAAGTCAATAGTCAGGAATTAAAAAAAAAATTATTTATTGCAATTTAAATCTTAACATTTTAGAAAATTAATCTTCTAACTTCCAGTTAACCTGTTGCCTTTTATTTATAGAAAGGGCTTACAGTCACATTACATTGAAACACTGATTACCATCTGATTACTGAAGTTAAGCAATATTGAGCCTGATTAGTATCTAGATGGGTGAACAACTGGGAACATCATGTGCTATAAGCTTGAATGTATGGGTGATATAATGGATAATAGTTTGGAATTGTTAATCAGAGAACCAAGTTCCAATTCCCGTTAAGTTCATTATATTCACTTACATGCAATAGCCTTGGGAAAGGTATGATCAGTAAATCTAAAAAAAAAAAACCCAAAAATTATTAGAATCTAAAAAATATTTTTTGAAAAAAAAAAAAAAAAAATGACATTACCAGCAATACATTTTTTAAGGAAAAATATTACCAGAAATACATTTTTGAAAAAAAAAAATTACCAGCAATAAAAATTGTTGGCATTGAAAATAACCCAGTGAAACGCCGTAAACCAAACCAAACCAAACAATCACTCTGAACAGGCAAAATATGACAAAAAATTATTTTAATTTGACTGAATTTTGTTTTAAGTGCCCCATCCCATAGAGGTGATTATTGCAAAAATGTCAAGTTAAACTTGTCTGTCACTTATAACATTCATTTCTATAAAAGATTCCAATGACATTTTAGGCAAAAAAAAAAAAAAATATATCCATATTTGATACTCTAAAAATAAATGGTTAAAAATGTGCAAATTTTGATTAACTTAAAAATAATAATTTGGCAAATACTTGGGAGGAGAAAGTTAGACCAGATCTGAAATCCAGAGTCTGTCTACCTTCCGATGAGAGCTGACATATATCACTTGGGAAAGGTTTCAAAAATGCCAAATGTCTACTGTTCTGAAAAGCTATCAAATTGAAAAATGGATTTTGAACAGTTTCAACCTATTTCTCTTATTTTTGATGAAGTTTTTTTTTTACATCAGCTTTTGGCTGATACATAGAACATTTCCCCTCCTTAATGACGAAGAAAAGAATTAAATAAACGTAGAACTATTAATTAGAAAAACAGAACAGTTCTGTAGCTATTTTAACAATACCACTTCAATAGCTTGATTCTTTCTCCATTTGTTAATTTTGCAATGTACTTATTGCAAAAAGATATTTCTCCTTGTAGTTTTTTTTTTTTTTTTCTTTCTTTCTCTCTTCATTTTATTTATGTAGTCTCTTTTCTGACTCGGGTATTTATAAATTGCCAAGTATTTTCTCACCATCATATTCGTTTTCTCAAGGAAGCATTTTACTGTCCATATTGTTCCTGTTGGCCAATTGTCCTGGGTACGATGATAAACTACATCCAGCAGCAAGGCCTCTGATTGGGAGCTTTTGAGGTGCATGAAACCATCTCTTAATTGCTGATGTTCCCAGGTCCACCCTGATATGGGATGGTAGCACCTGTTAGGGTCCCAGATATAAGCAAATAGTGAACCCCACACCAAAAAATAAAAATCAACAGTACATTTTTATAATAAAATGACCAATAATACATTTTTATAGTAAAATTACCAACAATACATTTTATGATCTACAAAATATATATTTAAAAATCATACTGGATATAACAGTAAAATTGTCCAAACCATGTAACAACATAATTGTTCATCCCACAAAATGTTTAATATCTAAAATCTAGTAAACTAATTGAGTTTTTTTTTTCTAGGTTATCAGATAAGACGTTTAGCCCTGTGGAAACCATTTGTTGTAAGAATCACTGAAAAATCCTTTGAGTTATTCAGCTAGAAAGAGAACCATGTTAAAATCATTTTCTATCAGATCCACTGTCTTCCCAACTGAGCAATGGTGAGAGGAAAAGGATTATTCAGGCTTTCGGTAATGGTACCAACATTCATACTCTGACTTCCATCTTCAAAATCCATTCAAGAGCCATCAAGAGAACGGTAAATAAGTTTAAAAAAGAGGCAACAGTAGAGAGGAAAACTGGATCAGGAAGTCACAACAGGAAGAGGATCACCATTTCAAGTTAGAGCTAAAGTGATCAATTAGAAAAGATCCAACTCAATCCATAAAATTTTTGGCACATGAAAGAGAAGTTTTAGCTATGATAGTCCAAAGAGAAGTGAAAAAAAGACTTGAAAAGAAAATTGTACATGAAATGTGTGTGGCACCTTGTTACTCCAGGACAGAAGGGCGAAGATCATCATCTTGAATAAGTTGGAAAATGATCCTGGAATAAAATATATGATCAAAATAAAAGTATAAAATTTAATATTACAAGACATATTAAAAAGAATATTAAATAACATAAAAAAAAACAAAAAAAACTCAACAACAAGGGTGGGGAAGCAACCGGTTTCGCTCCCGCTCGTCAGGCTTCCACGGGAGATTCAATATTAAAACAGAGAAATGTACAATGTGAATAGGTGGGGGAAAAAAAAAAAAAAATTTACGCATATATATATATATATATATATATATATATATATATATATATGTATGTTTGTATATGCAAGAAGGAACTAGAGGCAGATGACAGCGAGTCCCAACAAACACTCACGTTGTTTGCACAAAGAAGACTTATGGGACCCGATGTAAAAGTGCCTCCAGAACCTTCAGGTGAAATACAGAGTGTGACCGGGCCAACACGGTGAACCAGTCAACACTAAATTTGGCGGCACAATCTCTGCTATTTAAAAGATGTTCGCATATGGCGGAACTGTAGGTGTTCGGGACGAGTCCACTTAACGGCAAGGTGTGTTTTCTAATTTTAGTAGGAACGAGCTGCTTTATTATATTATTATTATTATTATTATTATAAATATATCATGATTATCACCTAATGTTTGAAGATCTGTCATTTATTTCCATTGATTACAGTTGAAAGACTAGAGGAGACCCAAATTATTTAATATCTCTATAAAAACCAATTAGAAAAACAATGTCAGTAATAATTCATAAACCTTTTCATTATGTTCTATTCATTAACATATCAAAAGTAAAACTGATTCCCAGATAGTGATTTTTAATTATATTTCTTTAGAACAAGAATCATATATTTAATGTGACAACATGACAGCATTCAAAATGAAATGAAAGTGATTGGTTATGAAAGGAAAAAAAAAAAAAACAAGAAAGGTTTTTGTATATGCACATGGCTCGGGACACTTGTGGCCAATTGTATGGACTCCTCAGATGGGACCTGCATATCTTTTCCAGGCCATTTTTTCAGAAAATATTTACTGTTTAGGCTGCATCATGGCACCATTTTGTGAAGAATTTATGCAGCCATCAGTTAGGAGAGGGATTGAGTGGATGCTTGCTTGGAGGGAAAAAAAATTATTGAAATAAGTGATCCAAGTAAAAAAAAAAAAAAGTTTCAGTGAAAGAAAGACAAAATGTGAATGCACACATATTAAGCATCCTTTCCTTTGTGTATGTGTGTGTGTGTGTGTGTGTGTGTGTGTATATATATATATATATATATATATATATATATATATATATATATATATATATATATATTTACTTACCATCTCCTGAAGAAGTACAATCATATTTTTGAAACATGAAAGCTCTCTTGTGTAGTGATTTCAAAATGTTTTTATTATTCTCTTATAATAAAAATATAATAATTATATATATTTATTTATAACACACACATATTTGTATGTATGTGTGTGTATAAGAATGGATGAAAATTAAAAAAAAAAAAATCTGGTGTTTTGTCTGATTTTGGAAAGTAGTTCAGACTCAGAACTTTTCAGCACTTCAGTATGTTCCTCTACAAAAAAATTTTTACACACCCAGTGACACTCTTCTCTATCTATATATATATATATATATATATATATATATATATATATATATATATATATATATATATTAAAATTCCCAGATGAATTCTGTGGACAAGACAGATTGGTATCTATCTTTTTAATTTTGAATTTTAATGTAACTATAACAACAAAAAACATTTTGATTTTCATTTTGCCTTGAAAAAGTCAGAAGACGAAACAGCATTAGCAAAATGTATGATTTTTTCCAATTGTCATTTGATACTATATATATATATATATATATATATATATATATATATATATATATATATATATATATATACACACAAACATATTGTTAAATATAACAGACAACGAATGTCTATTATGTTTGATCATGAGCTGTTCTAAGCTTCATATAGTGGCTTTAGTTTTGGGAGAAAATAAAGACAAAAACTGTCCAACATTTGGATACTTTTTTTTATTATGCTGTTCATCGACCTAAGCTTTCACCTCACATGAGCAATCATCAAAGTGGCTATATGGACATTACTAAAGTAAACTAAAGCCACTATACGAAGCTTATGTTTGAATAATGCTCTGCTGCCCCAATACACACACACATATATATATATAGGTTCCTGACACCAAAACAAGCTAAGCTGTCCATACATGCACACATGTGCTTGTCAGGTCATTGACTGGTGGACACTTTCAATATTCTTACACAGTGCCGAATAGTTTCCCAGGCCCCCATGACATGTTGATGAAGTGTCTTTGCATTATTAATGTCTGCTGCATAAACTAATTGTTTTAGATGGCCTCACAGATAAAAATCCAAGGATTGAGGTCAGGGAAATGTGCTGGCCATGAAACTGGTCCAAACCTACCTATCCATCTTTCATGGAAGATGTCAGCCATGCATCGTGAACAATGTGACTAAAATGTACTGGAGCTCCATCATGCATGAACCATCGTATTAGCAGGGGTACATCCTCTAACAGGTCTGAAAGTGTGTTCAAAGTTCCTGTAAGCAACTCTTTTAAGACGTGCTGGGAGAACATATGGACCTACCAGACAGTCACCTACAATTCCAGCCCACACATTAATCATAAACTGATGCTGGTGTCTAGCCTGTATTGTACCATGGGGATTCCGATCCACCCACATATTTTGGTTGTTTAGATTTGTTATTCCTTCTTTTCCAAATGTTGCTTTGTTCATAAATGAGACTAAAGAAAGAAACTGATCAGTAGTTTGTACAAGAAATCATCAGCAAAAGTTCTTCCATGGTAAGTGATAAGATGGTAAAAGTCCTTGCATGCATTGCAAATGATACGGATACAGGAGCTGCTCTTGAAGTACTCTCCATGCAGTACTATGAGATATACAACA